CGCCTCGCCGCGGAACTTCCCCTCACACGCACACACCCGCAGCCCGCCCGGCGAGGTGAGTGAGGAAGACCGGAGTTGAGCTAAAGGAGGTTTTGGGGGCCGGGACGGAAGCGGAAAAGGAAGGAGAAACAAGGAAGTGGGGGGGGAAAAAGAAGCCTTCTGCATTGGCCGGGAATCGAACCCGGGCCTCCCGCGTGGCAGGCGAGAATTCTACCACTGAACCACCAATGCCAGTGCTAAGGATTGTTTTCCCGCCTCCTATGTTGTAACTGTTGTTGACAGGAAATACTACAAACAATGTCATCTGTGGCAAAACGTGTCCTGGAAGCCTGCTCAGATTCTGACAACCAGCCACTGTTAAGTATGACAAGGGGAAAATTAGTCATGTGTAAACAGAATACTGTAAGGCTGAAGTAGTTGTTTAATACTCCTATCATGTTTTAAAGCACCTGTACATATCTCTTATCAAGCTCATCGGCATCATGTCTTTTCCTACCATCACTGTGATTCTTTCCCATTTAACCTATGTGTTATTAAATTTTGCAAGAGCACTCTTCATTCTCAAGAAAACTGAAGACACTTCATTGAGTGCAAATAGCTGAAAATCCCATTGGCTACAGCAAGGAAAATTGTCTGGCTTGGAGACTGAGAGCCAGGGAAACATTAATTAATTTATTTTGCCATTATCTCTCAGGCAAAAGTTTATATGCAAACCCAACAACACTAACTCCCTAAGGAGTCACACACACACACGCTTGTTTGCAGCAGGGCTGTAAAAGCAATGTAGGGAACCAAATGGGTTAGACTTATGCTCGCAACCTCCATCTTGCAGTACTAGCACAAAATCCACCAGCCACTTTTCTCTCCAGAATCAAGCCAGAAGAAAGTCCACTCCCACTTTTGGGACTTTGCTTCTCCTTGAGGTGCAAATCCTAAGCCAATTCTGAATAACGTGAGCAAACTGCAGCGCTTCAGGAACAGTCTTCAGTGCCAGGACAGTGGGCAACAAACAGCTTCCAGCTCTCCAGGAACCATCGTCATCAGACACCTAAGCGCTGGGCAAAGCTTAAAAGCCTACTGCAAAGCTTTTTCAGCCCTTTTCAGTTGAAGACCCCTAAAAAAGTTTCAGTGGACATGTGGACCCCATCACACACAGATTGTAGTACAGATAGAAATTCATTTATACTCCAGAATCATTTGCCATGGAGTCCTATGGAAAAAGAGCCAGGAGTAAAGTTTTCAAACCGCAGACTGAAAGCCGTTGGTCTGACTCAGTGGATAGGATGTAATGGATGTTGTCCTTTTTCATGTCAGGATTAACTGACCTTGTAAGTTGGCCAAAACTGGCTCAGCAAATGCTCTGTAACTTCTCTGCCATGTTTCAAATCCTGCCTGTACACCAGCTCCCAGCCAGGTTAAAGGGAAGAAAAGAAGGGAAAGGATGTCAGCTTTCATTTGAAAATATGGTCTTTCCAGACTATCAAATTTCAGAGTTTTGCTCCAGAAATCTACTAATCCTTTCCTGCCTCTCATCACTCTCTTTAGATATGGGTTCAGAATCTTCAGCATATTAATTTCTCCTTTGCATTTCCTCTTTATGTCTCTCCCCCAGCACCCATTTATCATTTTCACTGTCTCTCCAAAAGTTTCATTCCAGACCTCTGCTGATACACTTTTTTACAATCCATGATGATGATGCCTGATCCCAGCAGCTGGCATGAATGAGCATAATACAAATGCCTCTCTCAACAGCTTTAAATTTTTTTTCTAATAGAGATATTCTTCCTAAATATTTTCCAGTGGAGACATATAGCCTGTTAGGGTGTAAATACATATATGGACCAGCTACAGGTCCACTGACATCATGCAAGGGAGAAGGGGAATATCTAAGAGAGAACTCATTACCCTTACATACAACTTTTCAGGAGATGAGGCGATTAGCTCAGTTCATTTTGTTCTTACTTGCTGCACTTTAGGTGTTAGACAGTTATGCTACACCATCCATAGGGAATGCAGACATAGGTTTTTCTAAATGTGCTTAGCATGTCAACATTTTAAGCTTTGGCTTGTGATTGTTACCACTAAGGCTTGGTGAGAGAGGGGCCTCGGTATTAACTATTGAAAGCAGGGAGCCTAGTAATTGCTATTGAAAGCAGATCTGCAGGGTATTTGTATTCTTTGTCATGAAAGATGTTTACTGTATTCAGCATTTCGCTGATCACCCTATAGTGTCTTTTTTTCTTTTACATTCAAAATTCATTAAACAAAGTTGGGGGGTTTTTAACAAAAAATGTCAGCACCGCTTCACATCAGTCTAGCTGACAGTGCGTTTGACTAGCACTTTCAGCCCATTGAGCTTTTTTTCTTTTTCTAAACCAAAATGACAGTTAAAAAAGAATGTTTTTAAAGAAGGTGCACCGTAGCAGTTTATGCCAATCTTTTTCTTCAATGAAATCAGTTATGAAAATAAATCCTATTATGAAAAGTGTATTTCTAGAAAGCACCAAAGCACTCCTTCAGAGCTGCAGTCCCCAAGTATTGCACTCTTCCAACAAAAAATGCACTCTAAAAGAAATAGTAAGGCTGTGACTGATTACAAAAGCAAGTACAAATGAAGCTCAAATCTTTGAGGACAGTAAAATATATTTAATTAAATTTGTCCATGCTGCAAAATGGGCAATTTACTCTCTAGTACTACCTCATTGTACCTCAGCTTGGAAAAGGGTGTAGCTGGGAATATTAATGTATGAATGATGCGCCATTTGCTGTGCCAGAAGGGAAAGTAAGACCTCAGACCTTCCTTGGAATTTAACTGTGGGGTGGGGATTTTGGGGGTTAATCTTTCCATTTCACTTAGCAAATAAAATACCGAAAGAAGATGATGGAAAGTGGAGAGCCATCCAAACCAGAACAAATAGAGAAGATAGTAATGAGAATACACTTCAGAGTAGATTAGAAAAACTATTTTGCAATGCTATTTCACTATCTTCCCCTCAAAAAAGTTCAACTCTCCAGCTCCAAGCATCTTTAAGAAATCTTATTTCTTCAATGTTCATTTTTACATTAATGACTTCTGCTTGGATTTACAGTTTCACTTCCATTTTTATTATAAAATATTACTCTATATTCTACATTGCTTATTATACAGAAAGGATAGTTATTGCCTGTTTCATCCAAAAATAGGAAAAGAGAGAATTAATAATTGCCTAGATACAAACTGGGACAGGAATTAAGCAGCATACTACAAGCAAACTAATCCCTATTAAGTTTGCTAAACACACAGTGATACTGCTGACAGATCCCATGTGAAAGCACACGTCCTTGCCCCATGTAATATCAGACAAAGATTAATAAGATCTTATTGACATAGATTCACTCTGGTTATAAATTCAGTGCTTACTATTTTCCCAATACATCAGCAATCTCCTGTCAAAGTGCAGAGTAAGGACAAGGACACTCCTAAAGGGTGAACAAGACAAGAAAAGCGGTAAAAATGAGGAATTTCAGAGTAGGAAGGAACATGATCACAAAATGATCAAACACTGTTTCCTAGTGTAAATGTCCTAGTATAAAAAGGAAAAGGAAATAAGTTGCAGAACTGAGAGAACAGTAGAAAAGGACAAGAGGGTCAGTTAAAGCGAAGAAAATAACCCAACAAAATGTGGGCAAGAAAGTTGGAATATGTTTCATACGCTCTGTGAAAGGTTTGGACCATGCAGATGGAAAAATATTATACTGTAGTAGCACACTCAGTAAGGCGAACAAGCAGGCATTCTGCTTTCTGTGGAGTGGCTGCAGAAAAGTGCTCTGTGTCGGAGGAGTTAATGAGAAATTGGTGCTGAGCCATAGCTTTGTGAGTTGCTGCTCCCAAAGCTCTCTTGTATTTTAAACCGGTTCTTTACTTACACGATATTTAGGGTTTAGCTGTTTGCCAAGGCTGCAGAGCACAACCTCACACCCCACAGCCACAGTCTGAGGGTCGCAGGAGCCTCTTGGCAAGAGTGACCCCATGCAACTGGCGACAGCAGGGAAGCCCCAAAGCTGGAGCTGCAGCATCCTTATAAGCGGGGTGAAGAGTCTCATCCACACAGAAATGGGAAAGAGCAACTAGCTCCCATCTATTTTATTCTCCTGCGTTTGCTGGGGTGGCAATGGGGACAGAGCAACGATGATCCAGCCGTCATATCAATTACATTCATATCAAAGACTACTCATTAGAGGGGTATGACACAGAGTGATGTGACTCCTTCAGTACAAGGATATTCCCAGAAAAGGAGCTAACCTGTCCACACACAAGACCCTCTGGCACTACAGGAGCACGCCCTAAAGCTACACCAATAACTTCACTAACAAGCAACATGAGACCATGTCTCCCAACCCCCCTTCTTGCAGCAACCCTGCCTCCAAAGAAACTTCTTTCCCTGACTTGCTAATCATGGCTGGTCGAGCAGGGGCCGGAGGCAGGAGAGGGATGGGAAGGGCGAAGGGGGCTGAGGGATGGGACCGG